ATAATTGTAACATTGAGAAGGGCTGGCTTCAAAGTCCAAAGTTCCAGTCACCTTCCCATTTCTTGACAAGGAACACGAATAAAAGGCCTTGCATTAATCCTCTCTACCTCTCGACAATTTTTAGTCTTACAATTGTCCAGAGCAGCTGATACAATCTCTGCAGCACAATCCATCACCAGCACTAATACCTTGGTTTCTTCCGGCCAAAGCTTCGAATTAGGAATCTTCTCCGCGGGCAATTCAGAGGCCTGGTATTTAGGAATATGGTACAAGAATTTTCCAAATATTGTTGTATGGGTTGCCAACAGAGAAAATCCAGTTGCAGATTCACATGGATCCTTGAAATTATCCAAAAATGGAAGTCTTGTCCTTTTAGACCAAATGAACAATACTATTTGGTCTTCCACTTCTTCCCAAGTAGCAGAAGACCCTGTTGCACAACTTTTGGAGAATGGAAACCTCGTTGTCAGAGAAAAGGCTACAACAGATTCAGAAAGCTACATATGGGAAAGTTTCAATTTCCCATCAGACGCTCTGCTACCAGAAATGAAGTTGGGGTGGAACTTCAGGACAGGCCTTAACAGATTCTTGACTTATTGGAAAAATGCTAGCGACCCTTCTCCTGGAGAATATACCTATGGGATGGATAATGTTCTGTTGCCTCAGCTTGTTATTGCCAAAGGATCAAAGAAAATGTGCCGAACCGGACCATGGAAAGGTCTTTGGTTTACTGGTACTCCTGGTTTAGCAGCTACATACAGATCTGTCGTGAAACCAATTTTTGTGTATAATACCAATGAGTTGTACTATTCATATGAGTCTTTTAATAATTCTACCATCACAAGATTGAAGCTGAGTGAATCGGGTTCGATCCAGCGGCTAGTGGCCACCCAAGGAAGCGCTGAATGGGCTGTTATGTATACTTTGCAGAATGATGAGTGTAATAGTTATGGACAGTGTGGAGCAAATGGCATTTGCAGAATTAGTAAATCACCCATTTGTGAGTGCTTGCATGGGTTTGTTCTGAAATCACCAGACGAATGGGGAGTGCTGAATTGGACAAGTGGATGTATCAGGGAGACACCACTGAGTTGCCAGAAAGAATTTTGAAAGTTCGAAATGTGAAGCTGCCAGACCAGTTGAATTTTTTGGTCAACAATAGCAGTAGTAACAACGGATGTGAAGCAGAGTGCTTAAAGAATTGTTCTTGTGTAGCTTATGCTAATACAGTTATCATTAATGGAGGCAGCAGCTGTTTGATGTGGTTTGGCGACCTAGTTGATCTGCGAGAATTCGTTGAAGAAGATAGTCAGCAAGATATATAGATTCGGCTGCCGCATTCAGAACTAGGTAATTGAGTATTTTGCTTTAGTAATGTTAGCTCCTGATCTTATAAAGCCAAATCCTTAATCCTGAAGATGCAGTACATAAGGTTTTAGGATGCACTAGGAATGTTTAGGTCATCAAATATATAGATTTCGTGCTTTCAATTTTATGTTGAAAGGCTCAAATTGAAAAGGTCAAAAGTAGTGTACTTTGTGTATGTTTCAATATAACGTGGAAAGACATCATACCAGAAGAATGTTGTGTGTAAAATTTACCAAAGAAATCCGAATACTAAATATTGTGGTTTAGCTTATTAATGTTTTATTGTATATGATCTTCAGGGAAGACCGGTAGGAAGGATAAAAGAGTAGTAATCTTGGTCATATCTGCAGTTTCTTCGTTTCTTTTCCTGGGTTTGTCTTGCTGCTATATAATTCTGAAGAAGAGAGGAAAGAGAAGAGGTAAGCGTGCATATGGTGACCTTGCTAAGTTTCCAAGATGAGTAATATATTAATTCATTTTAATTTCTCTGTCTTTGTCATAAATTTTCTTTTTGTATTGTCATTTTACAGCTTCAAGAGGCACTAAGGAGGACTTGGAGTTGCCACTGTTTGATTTTGATACAATTGCAGCCGCCACCAATAACTTCTCCCACACAAATAAACTTGGAGAGGGAGGTTTTGGTCCAGTTTACAAGGTAACAGACCGATAGTTGACGTTGTTGTGCATGAACTTATTAGCTGACATATTTATACTAAAATTTCAGGCCAAGCTAACCCGAGAAGAATTCATAGCAGTAAAGAGACTCTCAAAAGAATCTGGTCAAGGTATTAAAGAGTTGAAGAATGAAGTTGCAATGATAGCAAATCTTCAACACTGGAATCTTGTTAAACTTTTGGGCTGCTGCATCCAAGGAGAAGAAAGGATGCTGATCTATGAGTGCCCAACAAAAGCTTGGACTGCTTTATTTTCGGTAGGAGAATTTTTCCTTCATGTTCTGGATTAATTACGTAACCTAAATTTTATTTCACTACTTTCCAGTGAAATTTATGTAATTAAACAGAGTCCTTTGCAGCTCTGTTTATGTGACAGGGGAGGAAAATTGAACCAAACGAACTCATGTGATGGCTAACTTGTGCAGATCAAAACAGAAAGGTGTTGCTGAATTGGCCAAAGAGATTGGACATTATCATGGGAATTGCTCGAGGACTTCTCTACCTCCACCAGGACTCCAGATTAAGAATCATTCACAGAGACCTTAAGAGCAGCAACATCTTACTTGATGATGAGCTGAACCCCAAAATATCTGACTTTGGCATAGCAAGGATTTTCGGGCACAATCAAGCTGAAGCAAAAACAAAACGAGTAATCGGGACACAGTGAGTTGTATAAACATTTCACCAATGCCTTCATATTCAGTTATTATCTAGTACTTAAATTATGTTTTTTTACTTGCAGTGGATATATGTCTCCTGAGTATGCAATTGATGGGAAGTTTTCGGTAAAATCCGATGTTTTTAGTTTTGGAGTGCTTTTGTTAGAGCTAGTAAGTGGCAGAAAGAACAAGGGGTTTCATCATCCAGATCACCATCATAGTCTTCTGTCTTCTGGGACATGTAGGTATTTTTTATTGGTGTTTGCTAATGTTAGACCATAGTTTTCCATGAAAATGACCAAAAGACACATAATTTCCAGGCATGGCTATTGTGGAACAAAAACAAGGAGTTGGAACTAATGGATGAATGCTTAGAGGACTCATATGTTGAGTTTGAGGTACAAAGATGCATTCAAATGGGTCTATTATGTGTTCAAAAGATGCCGGCAGACAGACCAGCAATGTCATCGGTGGTGTTCATGTTGGGCAACGAGGGAGCAACATTGCCTCAATCAAAGGAGCCTGGTTTCTTCATAGAAAGAAGCTTCGCCAACATTGATACCTTACTTAGTGAAGTTAGAAGCCACACTGGAACCACAATCACCACTACCGCGGTGGAAGCCAGATAGATTGATGTATTTGCAAAGTAACAGGCAAAGAAAGAGGTTGGCCTCAATGCATGAGAGGTGAATTGAGAATTGTATCAAATTATTATTTCCATAGTGATATGACACGTACGTGTAGTTGCTCAAAGTGGACCTTTAGAACGGACGGCGTAATTATGGCGGCGTTAAAACCTTGCCATTAAAAACCCAAAGGAGGAAAACCCGGTCAAGAAAAAAGAGTACCACCGCACCTCAAATAAAACATACAAGACTCTACTCCAACAGTCTATCCTTATCTAGAGGGTATGCTAAGCCAAGGGGGAGCACTGTCTGTCCAGAAGAACCGTGACCTCTCCCTCAACCCGTGCTCGATTTGATAGAAGGGTCTTGTTATGTATAAGGTTTATTTATGTACATGCCCACTGTGCTTTCAAACTTGTCTCAGATTACCACATGTGCTTGGAAACGTCTCAAAATACCCCTCATACTTTTAAAAACGGTCTCACATTACCCGTTCCGTCAATATTATAGGCATTCTGTCACATGCTTTAGGCCCCACTTCGTTTCAATCTTTAACCTTTGGGAATAAGAGTTTTTCAATTTTAAGAAAGGGCTTAACCTTTGTCGCCTTTGCAGCTTTGTAAATTACCAAGTTGGTAGCTTTGCAAGGCAAAACCAAAAAGAAAGCAGTACCCAAAAATGTTCAGTAAATAACAACATTTCTGATTCGCTCTACGGATAAAACAGGGCAAAGGGTCTCATACCCCATGCCCTAAATTGAAATGATTTAGATACCATTTTGTTTGGCCTCCCTCTGTTATTTATTTGTGTATTTGATCTTTGAAAATAGATAGTCTTATTGGTTTTTCAAGAGTCAAATCTAAGTTCATGGCAGGATGGTCGTCTTTAACACTACTGCGTCGAAACTAATGATGCATATCAGAAAAATGGTAGTTGCATTGGTAGTGATATTGATGTAAGAGATGATGTTGAAAGTGATGAGGATGATGATGAGGTTAGGCTAAGATGTATCCTAAACCATTTCTCCAGCTTATTCAAATATTTGAAGTAAATCAATTTCACAGAAGCAGTTGCTCCACCATCCAAACCCAACTCTTTGGCCACAAAAGACCACAAACTGTTCTTCGAAACTCAATCATACCCACCTCTATCTCTCACCAAACAGAACAATTTGAACAAATCCACAGGCTGCCTATCATCAATCACGGCAGGGATGGGCCTAACAACACCTCTATCACCAATTTCCTTAACAAATGCAGATAGAACTTGATCAAATGTAGGAGAAGGAAGAAATCTGGAGGGGCCCAAATAACCCATTTCCCCCTTTCTTAAAACTGAAAAATCATTTTTCCTAAAGGTTAAAGATTGAAACAAAGTGGGGCTCAAAACACATAACGGAATGTCTATAATATTGACGAAACGGGTAATGTGAGACCTTTTTTAAAAGTGTGAGGGTATTTTGAGACGTTTTTAAGCACAAGTGGTAATCTGAGATAAATTTAAAAGTACAAGAACATATGCATAAATAAGCCTACATATAATTATTACCACAAAAACTTGGTCAAAGAATTCTTTCGAAGTGGCATATCAAATCAAAAAGTACAACAACCATTATGCTAATTTTACTAGTCAGATGGCGGCTGCAAAGTCCAAACATTAAGGTCCAAAAAAACCGTTCTGGACAGAGTCCAAAAAAACCATTTTGGACAGAGAGAACAGAAATGAAGGGCCTTCCTTTCATCTTCTTCACCTCTCTGCTCCAGTTCTTAGTCTTACAATTGGCCACAGCAACTGATACGATATCCCCATCAAAACCCATCATAGGCTCTGATACCTTGGTTTCATCTGGGCAGAGCTTTGAATTAGGGCTTTTCTCTGCTGGTAATTCTTCTTGGTATTTGGGAATATGGTACAATAATTTTCCAGATGTTGTTGTCTGGGTAGCCAACAGAGAACACCCACTTGCAGATTCATATGGATCCTTGACACTCTCAAAAAATGGAAGTCTGGTCCTTTTGGATCAAATGAACAACTCTGTTTGGTCTTCCACTTCTTCCCAAGTAGCAGAAGATCCTGTTGCAGAGCTTTTGGAGACTGGAAACCTGGTTGTCAGAGACAAGGCTGCCACAGCTTCAGAAATCTACATATGGGAAAGTTTCGATTTCCCATCAGACACTCTGCTGCAAGACATGAAGTTGGGGTGGAACTTCAGGACAGGCCACAACAGATTCTTGACTTCTTGGAAAAATGTTAGTGATCCATCTCCTGGACAATATACTTACGGGATGGATAATGTTCCGTTGCCTCAGCTTGTTATTGCCAAAGGATCAAAGAAACAGTTTCGTACAGGACCATGGAACGGTCTTCGATTTACGGGTACTCCTGTTTCATCAGTTTCCTACAAAGTTGTGCACCCAATTTTTGTGTATAATACTACTGATCTATACTATTCATATGAGCTTGTTGATAAATCCATTGTCACAAGATTGAAGCTGAGTGAATCGGGTATCCAGCGGCTAGTGGTCAGACAAGGAAGCACTACATGGGCTGTTATGTATACTTTGCAGAATAATCAGTGTGATAATTATGGAGTGTGTGGAGCAAATAGCATTTGTAAAATTAACAAATCACCTGTTTGTGAGTGCTTGCATGGGTTTGTCCCAGAATCATGGAACGAATGGGGGGTGAATAATTGGACAAGTGGGTGCAGGAGGGGAACACCACTGAATTGCCAGAAGGGAGAAGACTTTCTGAGAATTCGAAATGTGAAACTGCCTGACCAGTTGGATTTTAGGGTGATCCCGAGCACTAGCATCGATGAATGCAAGGCAGAGTGCTTGAAGAATTGTTCTTGTGTAGCTTATGCTAAATCAGATATCAGTAAGGGAGGTAGTACTAGTGGCTGTCTGATGTGGTCTGGCTCCTTAATTGATATGCGAGAGTTCGATGAAGATGATAGTGAGCAAGATATATATATTCGGATGCCATTTTCAGAACTAGGTAAGACTGCTAAGTGAGTATTTTGCTTTAGTAAAGTTAGCCCCTGATCTTGTGAAGCCATGCGCTTAATCCTAAAGATTCTGTACATAAGGGCTTAGGAATAACAGTTGCATAGATTTATTGCTTTAAAATTGTATGTTGCAAGGCTCAAAATTTGGAAACTTTGTTTATGCTTTAATTGAGGTAGTCCTAAATGCATGAACAACTTCTGAATTGGCAATACACCATAACAGAAGAAAATACTCCGTACAGTGTGGTTCACCTTGTTAATGTTATCTTGTATATGATCTTCAGGTAAGAGCAGTCGGAAGGGTAAAGGGGTAGTACTCATCTCAGTTCTGTCCGCAGTTTCTTTGCTTATTTTTTTGAGTTTTTCTTGCTGGTATATAATTCTGAAGAAGAGACGAAAGAAAAGAGGTAAGCATGCATATGCACCTTGCTAATATATTTGTGGACACCTGTATATATGCTTGAGGAAATCTTATGCATTGACGAAGACACTGTCTTTGAATATATATATATATATATATATCTATGTTTGCTTTTGCATTCTGAATTAAGTTTGCAAGAAGAGTTGATATAAAATCAAATTAAGACAATTACATTGCATTAATGTCATTGTCTTTGCCCATTTTTTCCTTTCCTCATTGTTTTCTTCAATTTACAGCATCAAGAGACAGTAAGGAGGACTTGGAGTTGCCACTGTTTGATTTTGATACAATTGCAACCGCCACCAATAACTTCTCTCACACAAACAAACTAGGAGAGGGAGGTTTCGGTCCAGTTTACAAGGTAACAGAGCTGCTATAGTTGACGTTAGTGTGCATGAACTTATGAGCTAACATATTTATACTTAATTTTCAGGCCAACCTAACCCGAGAAGAATTCATAGCCGTAAAGAGACTCTCAAAAGATTCTGGGCAAGGTATTGAAGAGTTTAAGAATGAAGTTACAATGATAGCAAAACTTCAACACTGGAATCTTGTTAAACTTTTGGGCTGTTGCATCCAAGGAGAAGAAAGGATGCTTATCTATGAGTACATGCCCAACAAAAGCTTAGACTGCTTTATCTTCGGTCTGATTTTTATCCTTCATCTTAATTTCTACTTTCTAGTGCAATGTATACTATTAAACAGCATCTTGTGCAGCTCCGTTTATGTTACAGAGTAGGAAATCTGAACCAAAATTGTTTCAAGTGCAGATCAAAGTAGAAAGGCATTGCTTGATTGGCGAAAGCGATTTGACATCATCATGGGAATTGCACGAGGACTTCTCTACCTCCATGAAGACTCCAGATTAAGAATCATTCACAGGGACCTGAAGAGCAGCAACATCTTACTTGATGATGAGCTGAACCCCAAAATATCTGACTTTGGCATAGCTAGGATTTTTGGACGCAATCAAACTGAAGCAAAAACAAAACGAGTCATTGGGACATAGTGAGTTCTAGCAGCATTTATTATGAATGTCTTCATTTCCAATTATGAACAAGTACTTAAGTTTGGTTGTTTTCATGTAGCGGATATATGTCTCCTGAGTATGCAATTGATGGGAAGTTTTCAATGAAATCGGATGTCTTCAGTTTTGGAGTGCTTTTGTTAGAGATAGTAAGTGGCAGATAGGATTTTTGGACGCAATCAAACTGAAGCAAAAACAAAACGAGTCATTGGGACATAGTGAGTTCTAGCAGCATTTATTATGAATGTCTTCATTTCCAATTATGAACAAGTACTTAAGTTTGGTTGTTTTCATGTAGCGGATATATGTCTCCTGAGTATGCAATTGATGGGAAGTTTTCAATGAAATCGGATGTCTTCAGTTTTGGAGTGCTTTTGTTAGAGATAGTAAGTGGCAGAAAGAACAGAGGGTTTCATCATCCAGATCACCATCACACTCTTCTGGGACATGTACGTGTTGCATTATATATGGTTATATGTGCCTACTAATATTGTACCTCTATTTTTCCATGTGTTTGACTAAAGGCATATAACTTTGCACTTGTTCCAGGCATGGCTACTGTGGAACAAAAACAAAGGTTTGGAACTAATGGATTCATGTTTGGATAACTCATATGTGAAGTTTGATGTGCTAAGATGCATTCAAATTGGTCTATTATGCGTTCAAAAGCTATCCTTGGACAGACCAGCAATGTCATCCGTGGTGTTCATGTTAGGCAACGAGGGAGCAATATTGCCTCAACCAAAGGAGCCTGGTTTCTTCACAGAAAGAAGTTCCACGGGTAACGATAACCTAATCAGCAACGGAAGAAGCCACACCGGAGAAACAATTACTATTTCAACGGTGGTGGCTAGATAGTTCACACATACATTTTGACATGGCTGTTTGTCAGTCAAACTTATTGGTTGAGGAGAGTTTCAATTTCGTAGGCCAAGTTTGACAAGTATATAATTATGAAGGAGATGTATGAGTCAACGAAAATATATTATAAGGCAGGAAAATATTCTAGAAACAAATAATTAATAGTTATATCTTTGTGATAAGTTGATTGATAGAAACAACTACAAATATTTTTTTGGCTTGTAAATTAGAAACACAAACATCCCCCTCCAAAGTCACTGGACCACATTCTAGAAATATGTTTTTGGTCAAAGCACACATTCTTGAAATTTTTCCTTCACTTTCTTTTACATACGATTATGGTTCTTAAAGAAATGATTAAAAGTCAATTAGCATTAGGCATACTTTAAGGTCCCAACATCATTATCATCATAATAACTTTCACACAAATGCTATTCAAAGTCGCCCAAAGCGACTCTTATTTGAGACTCGCCGTTTTATGGAGTTCCCACATGGAAGTCTGGTACTTTTAAAGACCAAATGAATAACACTATTTGGTCTTCCACCTCTTCCCAAGTAGCAGAAGATCCTGTTTTGCAGCTTTTGGAGACTGGAAATCTTGTTGTTAGAGACATGGCAGAAACAGCTTCAGAAAGCTACATATGGCAAAGTTTTAACTTCCCACCAGATACTTTGCTACATGAAGTTGAGTTTTAACTTCCCATCAGATACTTTGCTACATGGTGCAGTTCAATGTACTGAGGACCATTATTATATAGAATGCCAAAAGTGCATTGATATCAGAATAGTTGAACTTCTGGAGGTTACTAATGGAATGAGTGGTGGAAGCGCTATTTACAAAACTCTACTATTATAAAGCCAGGCGAAATACATACTTAAACAAGATGTTTTTTTACTTACGATAAAGCCTCCCGTTGTGTCTCCATCAAGATTCATACTAAGCGTAAAACTCCAGTAGCACCTAGTTCTGGTGGATTTATCTTTGTTTATGGGGTAGATTTCATGACTTCCAAGCGTTTGTGCCTTGTTGTCCCTCCTGACAAAACTATGGAGACTGGCCCTGTGGAGTCTCCTAGACGCATTTCTTAATATGTTCTCTGAGCATTTGTGGGCTTGGCATCCGGCGAGTGCTCTTGTGTCTGATACTAGTGTTCATGATTAAGTGGCCGAGGTCAGTTTTGTTATTGTTGTGTGGTGTCTTCTTCGTTTCTCCCCTTTGCTGATCTTTGATTCTGCCTGTTTCAAGGACTATCTTGTGACTGTGCAAAGGATTATGATTTCATAGCAGGACTCTTTTGACAGTTGGGTTGTGTTGTAGTGTTTTAGTCAGAGGTCTATGTGTCGATTTGTTGTTTTCCCCATAATTGTTCTAGCCTTGGTCCTACGTGACTGTTTTCAGACTCTCTTGTTAGTTTATGACATGTGTGATACTCTTTCTTACTATGAGGTTTGTCCCTCAGGAAGGTTTTAACGAGGCCACTACTTCGTGTTGTTCTATGTACGCTATCTTGATTCTATGAATAAACTCAAGTTCTAAAATAAATAAATATCTATATCGTAAACTATCGGATCGGGTATTACTTCATTAAAATTGCTTGTTGAATTGAATTTTATTTTTATTTCTTTTAATCAATTATTTTGAATATATAAAAAGATGCAAAATTATAGGTGCATGAGTGATCTATAAAGGACTAAAATACTTAATATTTTTTTAAAAATTAACTGAAAAACACGAATAATATCAAAATATTAATTGATCAATTAAAAGTTTAAAACTAAAACATGAAAAGAAAAAAAAAAACTCTCATTTCTCTCAGATTGACCCAAATGCAGCCGCAGCTACCCATCCACTCTCTCTCTCTCTCTATCTCACCACGACCATAACCTTGCTTCAATGGTCAAGCCAAACAGTCTGCAAATCCATCAAACCAGATCAATGAGGGTATCCAAGCCTCAGATACCCCCCAGCCCAGATTTCGTGCCCCCATCTCGCTGAAATCTGCAAGAGATTTCTTGGTTTTAGTGCGCAGCCAAAACCAGCGGGTGTTGCATCTCAGAGGCGCCAGAACTAGCGACTGTTGCATCCCGGGATGTGGTTGTGATGGTTGCCGTAAGTGATTGGACCAAAATGCCCATATTTGTAAATTTACATTTTTTTTTTTAATCGAGGAATGTAAAAATCTCACGTCTTGATAAAATAAAATAAAATATATATTAAGTAATTATATTACAATTGTATTAGTCATGTATACCCATATACAACAAGCATTGTTGTCTATGAAATAAATTGGATAAAACATGAATTAACATATAATTAGTTTATGATAATCACACTAAGTTTATATGCGGTTTTGCTGCCTTAGGGCCGCCGGGGCTGGAGGTACTACTAGGGACGAAATTGGTAGCGATAAGGGAAGGCTTGCTGATGATGGGTTTCAAGGGTTTCACTCATTACTGATTCCCAAGAGGCAATGATGATGCTCAAGAGTGAAATGGACTAGCGGGGTAATGTTGGTAATGTTGTGGAAGATGTTAGGCGGTTGATAATTGAGAGGGCAGTGACTGATGTGGTATTTCAACCTCGTTCTGGCAACGGAATTGCTCATACCTTGGCACAATTTGGCTTAAAGGAAGGGCACCCGTTTTTTTCTGGGAGGATGTGGCTCCACCTTGGCTGTGTCCGACGCTAGAGAAAGATAGGGAACAAATGTAATTAGGGAGATTCACTATTATAACTAATATAGGGGCTTAAATTATAAAAATACTTCATATGAAATGGACTTTAGAAACACACACAAAGCCCATTTACAACATAACAAAAAAACTTTTAACTTCTTATAAATTACAAAACTGTCATCAATTTCTTAAAACAAGCTCAACCCCAAAATCTCATAAAAATACCCAAAACACTTAATAGGGCATCAAAGTAATTTAATTATCAATATTAAATTCAATAAGATCAGCTGTCATTTTTTGGATTTTTTTTGGGTTTGTTTATAGAAATTCAATTGTGTAGAGTTTATTTATAATATTAGTGCTAAGAATGGGTATATCACTAAATATCTCTTTTTGTTATTCCGAATTTTCCTCCATTCGAAGTTGTTGAAGGCAAGATTTTAACGAGATCATTTTCTGCCCACCAATTTTTAGCTGTAATTCATCTTGATGAAAGTTCAATGAAGTCCTTTCTTTTGATCGAGTCAACTTAGTCCAATAATTTTAAATTTACAATAAGATCAATTTGTTATTAAAAAAAACTCTATTCGAGAAACAAACACGGTGCAATACCCCAAAACTGTACTGAAAGCCATAGACTTTTCTTACGTCATAAATGCAATACTTATACTTGAACCCGTCAACTATATGAAAAGTTATGATAAAATGGTTTTAAAATTTAATTTCGTTTTTATACACCTATACAAAAAGCACGGCCATGCATCTGGTCAGCTGGTCAATTTTGAGAAGTCAAATATGTTTTTTAGCCTCAACACTCCTCTGCCTCTTAGATCCCATCTGCAAGATTTTGGGGGTTAATACCACGTCAGACCCTGGGAAGTACTTGGGGCAGATCTAAGAAGGATGCCTTGGGTTTTATCAAAGAGAGAATTCTAAGTAAGGTGCAAGGATGGCGTCAGAGTCTACTTACTCAGGCTGGAAGAGAAGTGCTTATTAAATCAGTGGCCCATGCCATCCCCATGCATCCAATGGCTGTGTTCTTACTCCCATGCGGTCTGTGCAAGGAAATCGATAGTGTTCTCTCCAATATCTGGTGGGGCCATAATCAAGACTCCAGGAAGCTTCACTGGATAAGCTGGAATGAGTGGGGAATGGGCTTTCGTAATTTACATGAGTTTAATAAGGCATTGTTGGCTAAACAGTTCTGGAGGTTGGCTACTGAACCTGACTCTTATTGGACAAAGCTGCTGAAAAGTAGGTTTTTACCCTCACTGTACCATTCTTGAAGCTTGTAAAGGGTCTCGTCACTACTACAAAAAGTGAAAAAGACGACCAGAAAAACACGACGGTCTAAGTGAAA